CCCGCCCTTCCCCCCCCCTCCCCCCCCTTTTTTCCCCCAACCCCCTCCATGAATGCTGGAACAGGCATGCAACAAACACGTCTGAAGTGAGGCTTGCCTCCGTTACTCCCTCGACTCTAAACCCCACGTGTCGACCACATGCCATGACCTATTTGCGTGCTCGGCGCCCCCCCAGCCGAGGCGGGCGCGCAATAGCGTTTATCATTAAAAAGGCATTGAACACCTAAAAGCCACAAACCCCAAACCCACAAAAAGGCGCATACTAATTTATCTGAAGCCCAGTCTCTGCGAGACTTTCTTGGCCCAGCTTTTGAGGGGAACAAACCTCGCAGCAGGCCAGGAACAACTCAGCGGGGTTTGCATTATCATGATGGCAGTTCCAGTAGAGCCCACCCCCGCAACCGCCCCGGCCACGACGACCACCACCACCACCACCACCACCACCACCACCACCAGCACCACCTCACAAACGCAACACAAACGAGTAGAAGTAGCATAAGAAAATCCATATGAAGTCACATTTGCCATCGCTGGAGCAATCGGAAATCAGCACGACAAGCCGGAAGAACATCTTTGTAATGCTGATGAATCAGTGGCATCAGTGTTGTACAGGTTCAGCCGCTCTGGGATTTGTAGTTGAGGGGTTTCGTTCAACTTCTACTTGCTTCATTTACAAGGTGTGTGGGGATCAATGAATCTTAAAGGGAATCTATGAGAGATGGGCATTCCACATGCTCGTCTAACGCCTCAGGAACAAGTCATCTGCAACCCCCGTACAAGCCCGCGGAACCCATCAAAAGTATTCATCTCACTACAAACCTAGGCCCCAGCCCTCTGCTAGAGGAATCAGAAGATTGCACAACTGAGCTGCAGCAAAAAAAACTTCGCCCAGACCCGGCCAGTCCTCATTAAATGAGAAATCGAATTCGAAGAAATAATCGCTGGGTACTGCCACCCCCTAGTAACAATCTATAAGAGGGGTCCGATTAAGGGCTATATATAACCACATTATAATTATCATCCAACTGTTACTGAGGGGGTACCCAATAATCACTCTTTTTCGGAGTCCCTATGATGGATGCTTGAATATTGGGGCACCTCAGGTGGCTCCATTTTGACGACATCCTACCAATTTCCAATGATGCTCATGCCGACATGTTTGCGCGAATGTCTGGATCTGGCTCATGTGGTCCTTTGCAAACAGGAATGGCAGCCAACACTGCTACAGGATTGTCTGAATAAGGTGCAGGTGCAATATGGCCCGAATACAGAAGAACTTAAGTTCAAAGCCTCCCCAACCAGTGCACCACTAAAAGCACCCTAAACCCTAAACCCTATTCACCCAAATCTCAGGCTGATGAACTTTTGGTTTCCCTTCAGCAGCTCTAACCCGTCAATATTGTGCAGAAGAGGGGCTGGAATGTCTCGATTGGCATTTCAGCTGTGACTTTGATCCTCCAGGAGGTACCCTGCTTGGGTTTCCGATCTAACCTAAACGCTAAACCCTAAACAATTAGGATTAAGAGGTTCCTAGAATGTCGTAGCAAGACAAGAACCCGGGAACCCCTATTTTTGGAAGTACTGATTTAGGTGGGTTTAGGGTTTAGGGTTTAGGTCTAGGATTCACCGGAGCACAGCTCCCATGACGGTGTTTAATGTGCGCGGCACTCCACCAAGACTGTTTGAGGTGAACGACACTGCTCGATCATCGGGTGTAGGGCTCGTGATGTAATGCTGTTTTGGCATTTAGGGCTTTTGGTTGAGGGCATAGGTTTGGAGCTGTAGAAGCATGAAGATATCAGTGAACACGCCACAAAAAGATAGAATCCATCCAGAGATGAAACACATGCATTCCGACTTTGGTCAAAACCGCTACTCATGGAATCAAGCTTCCATGTCTCTCCATTGCATATCCTTCAAAACGAGCCGTCAGAAGCGCAAATGAATGGGCAATCCCAGTACAATCCTCTGGAGCGACCGTTCGAATCATGCTGGCTTAAGCTTTAAGGACAGGGTACATCATGTTGAGAAACCCTTCCGCCCAAACCCTAAGCCCTTAGTCCCTCAAGGGCACCTCCTACGGTTCCGTCGATATTCCGACTTAGTCCCGGAAAGTCACCTAAGCCTGCACTGCTTGTGAACAATACCCTAAACCCTAAACCTCTTGAGCAAAATCCCCACGGGTGTATGTTTCTATTGCGATTTTGAGGGTATACGGGGGTATATATAGCCATCTAGGGGTAGAGAGGATGTGTAAAGGTTTTATCGAGTACGAGTAGGGTAATAATGGAGAATCAAACAGAGAAGAAAAAGAAAATGGAAAAGGAAATGGAAGCCAGGAGAATACAAGGGTTCATAGGGGGAAAAAAGCCTGCGTGACTCAGAGTAGCTTATACCCTGGGAAGTCCGGGGTTGTAGTATACTAAGGTGATGCAGGATTTTCGGATTTTCGTATCGACAGTAATTCATGGATTCTGTAAAGTCTCAGACTCAGGTCTAGCGGTGATTTAAACTTTTTTCAGGCTTCCGGCAGGGCCAAGGGTCTAGAATGGCGGCTCACAAGTAGGGCGCCCTGAACGGTAAACCCTCAACCCTAAACCCTAAACCCTATACCACACCAAGGACTCGGAATGGCTAAACTCTCTAGCACTCAAAGCAATCGCAATCGATCCTGCAAAGTTGACCGTCCAGCGGAAAGCGTTGCAATTCCTGAGTCATCCGGCTGCTACTATTCAGGATTTAGGAGGATTAGTATTCAGGATTTAGGGTTCAGGGTTTACGGTTAGGAGTTTAAGCTTCAGGGTTTCTTGTTTTGGGTCTTTGGGTTCAGGAATTATGTGGGATTTCCAAGATTGGGGAGTACACAGCTGATTTGGCAGACTCTTGAACCCCCAACCAGCACTGCCTATTGGTTTTGTCTCACTTTGGAAACCTACCCTAGGCTCTAAACCCTTTAGTTGACACATGTGTCAAGAGCCTCCCAGGCCTCTGGAATAAGGTTTCAAAATCAGAAGGCTTTGGTAGGCTTACTGCTGACGGATCACGCTTTGGCATCAAGATGCAGGGCTCAGGGACAAGAATCAGAAACCTTTCAACAGACATGGCACTATAGAAAAGGAGGTGATGCTCCTTGAATTTACAGCCTGCATCGTTTCTTTGGGGGGTTCCGCCGCTCACCCCTGAATCCAAAAAAACTTGCCAAAAAGGCAAACATTGCGCCTAAACCCCAAACCCTGGAAGTTCAAAACCCTAAACCGTAAACTCAAGAATCCTAATCTGAGAATGAAAATAGTGACCAAGGTTTATCTAGCGTCCAGCGGTTCCTGAAAAGTTGCATCGTACTTCATGGTGTAAGAAACCTCATCCAATGAAGGAGGGGACCGAGGTGGGTTTAGAGCTTGGGGTTTAAAATTGGTTGGGCGTTGGTTTCAAAACAAAGCTGGAGGAATTCGGGTTTAGCATGTGGCGCTCAGGGCTTATGTAGAGTAAAGCAGTTAGCTTTCAAAAATCCATTTTATTTTCCATTGTCCCTATATAACCCCCATATACTGTAATAGTTTCCATTGACAATTTTCCGTTATCCCAAAATAACCCCAATATACCCAGAGGGTTTTTGGCTTCAGGTTCTGGGTTGGGGCGTGAGGTTGGACAGTTGTCGTCCTCCTTAGATAGAGCTTACAATATAAACCCAAATATGACAGTCCTCGTTAGCGGGACCCCCAAAACAATACCCCTAATTTTGGGAAACACCCATGTATGTTCAGAGAGCGGGCGGCTCTACATATCCATGTTCCGTCTGCTTGCTGGATGCGGTTCAGAGTTTAGGGTGTAGGGTTAATAACAAAGGCACTAGGGCTAAGGTTGAAAGCTTCAGAATCTGTTACTGGTGTTCTTCAGGTTTTCAAACGAAGTCCCAATCCATGTGCTTGCAATCAATGCAGTCAAGTGCTTTTTGCCTATGTTTGCTCTGTTTGCAAAGAAGGAAGGATAGGATCCGCACTGCGCACCATATTAAACAAGCTACGATGATCCCAATAACACATTCTTTACTTCCCTTCTAGCAAGGGAGCATGAAAAAACAGCAGCAGAAGCTCTAAACCGGCTGAAGCTGTCATCTCATGTCTGTCCGGAAAGTAGAGGATCACCACACCCGCCCAAGTTGCATTCTAGTTCAGGGAACCATTACAAAAAGTCCTGCGGAATCAGTAGATTGAATCATTATCACGACCCTTACCACATATTTGCCAACAGAGCCTCCCTGTTGTAGCGCTTGCAACAGATCTTTGCGCGAAGAACAAACAAGAAGTAGGGGGAAGTGTTGGTGATGCTGCTAGCTATCAGTCTCCTGCCCTGTTGCGGCCGCTACAGGTGATGCCCACAAAACGACTATGTACAGATACAGCACTACCAGCAAGAGTGTCTTTGACACCTGTTTGTTGTACTACTAGCCAGGGCCACTGACCATTTTTGAGCAATGACCAGGTCAGCACAAATTGGTGGAGCGGAACCGCCAGGTCTGTGAGATACATCTGCATGTTTGAACACTTTCCTCTGTGGACCTGCTTTTGGCAACTTGGCGTGTCTGCATCTAGAAAGCTTTCGGATGTGGAGCATGGTCACAAGCAGGACATGCATTAGGCTTCCACACTCCTCCGTCAAGTTGAAGATGTTTCAGGCTTCAATGTTGGCCTTTAATTCAAGGCAGTTGAAACACTGTCCGGATCCGTGTACTGATGTGTATGCGGCTCCCTCCTTGAAATGTTGCGCAATGTTGCCTGTTCCATACGGTGTTGAAATTATCCAACGCATCATGATGTCCAAGTATATTCAAACTATCTTCAACGAAGTGCTCGAGGAAACCACATCAGATCATGAAGGCATTTGGGATTGCATTTCAATCCGCAAGATGGAGGAGTATCAAAAGCCAAGAAACAAATCCTCCTTCCTCATTGCTCCAAAGGAGAACCTTCTTGTCAGTGATTTTCTTATCCTCATCCACCATGTTGATGAAGGAGAACTCCGGATGGAAGTATCCTCGATGCTACAAAGAGTCGATTCAGAGATCCCTCTTAAAATTCAATGAATGTTATGATCTCACACAATATATAGCCAAGCTGGAGAGACGACAATCACAACCATCTCTTGCTGAGCTAATTTACGACGCACTTTAAACCAGAAGAAAGAGAGAAATTCCACTCGGGCCCATAAATCTAAGCCTTGAATGGACAGCTGCCTGAACTCAAAACAGCATGTTGCTGTCTGACTCAAACAAGGCCTGTTCAGGCTTGCTGGCTACTGCTGGTACAGGTGCCATTATTCTTGCTACTACTGATACTTCCACTTCTACTGCTACTGCTGCTACTACTACTGCTGCTACTACTAATATTATTACTACTACTACTACTACTACCACCGGATCGAGGTTCAAGATTTAGGGTCTCAATGCAAAAAAAAACTGCTTGGAAGGCTAGCATCTGGCCCAGTCTGGCTCTGCCATCCTGATATACTCCTGGGTTGCTGCTAAGGAACTTAAACAAAGTTGCCATAGTGGGTATATATGTATAGGGATAATGGAAAACAAAATGAAAACTGCTACTTAGGTTGTAGGGTTGCTGCTAAGGAACTTAAAGGAAGTTACCATAATGGGTATATATATTAAGCAATACAATTTCCCCAATATAGCAACTTGATTTAAGTTCCTTAATAGCAAACCCAGACTCATCCTTCTGAATGGTCTTCTTGTTCTGAACCTTCTCACAAAATGACGTTGCAAATCGGGGTTTTGGGTTTAGGGTTTGGGGTTTAGGGTTTAGGGTAATGTTTTGAATTACGGTGGCTTTGCATTGTAATCAAGCGTGTCTGCTGGTCGATGGCCTCATGGAGCCAATGGCTACAGGTGCTGTGAAAGTGGCAACTGGCCCCCAACTTTTTGTACCCCCAGGGCCGACTATGCTTCCAAGCATGAGGGACTTCGAAACCTGGATGAGTTTGCTTGCGGGAATTTGGAATACAGGGCACCACACCTTTCAGCTCCAAAGTCCTTGGAGATTCTTCGAATGAAACCTCTGTGAAGTTTAGGAATTAGCGTGGTAAGGGGTGCTGCTCATTTTTCTGGACTCCTGTGTTCCTTTCGACATGTTGCGCAGGAGTGCATGCTTGTGATACTGGGAGGAGTACTGACCTAAATGCAAAACAGTTCTGCGTGAGACGCATCTTCGCTGTGTAAATTGTGCTGGTGCTGCCCATGAGGAAGAAAGACATCATAAATCCTGGGGCTTCAGTCACTTTGCCCCTTCAACAATGAATACGCCTTCCCAGCTTCAGAACATTATCTGAATTATGAATCTCATGCAAAACCTGCTTGCCCGCGACTTTTGCCACTATGCCTTACAGGAATACATCTAACACCTAAACCCCAAGGCTCCTGAAGCGTCCAAACCTCAACCCTACATAAGCCATAGTCTAAACTCCTAGTATCCCCCCTAATTTCCACTATAAAATCCCCTTTTTTTAACCCCCCTTTAAGGAGTTTAGACTATGGCTCACATGCCGCCTCTACCCGCGACGTTTTGTTGGGGTCATCGCCCAGCTCGACGTACTCGATGTCACCATTCTCGTATTTCCTTTTGTCTAGGGCTCACAGGATCAGAACTAATCTTCAGGGCGAAGGGGCTGAACATTGAGGTTCATTTAGGCTACAAAGTGTAGATTTCACGCCAAATAGAATAGGAGTGTTCAGGTAAGGAAAGAAAGGCAGATGTTTGGCCTGATGACATATGTGTGGAACTCCAAAAAAATCGTTTCCAATATTGACCAAACCCCAGCTGAAGCCACCCGCGACCGCTAGGGACATTGCACCCAAAACCCTAAACACTAAACCCTAAACCCGAATCTCTAAACCCTACCAAAGACTACTGGGCGTCATTGGCGAGGCTGGGGTGTTTTTAGGGTTGGGCTCATTAAGGGCGGCCAACACCCCCAGCCCAAAGTCATAGATGCGCTACCTCGCTAGATTCAATCTCACGTAGACGGCCTAAATAGTTGCCAATATCCAATTGAGTCCAATTGAGGTCTCTTTGAGGTACCCGGTACCATAGTTGCATGAGGAATCTAAAACCATAACACTGGACATCATTTAGGCATTTACAGCACAACGTCAACATCTGAGTTTCTTTGTGACCAAGACCTCCATGTCTTTCAAGTGGCGCTCCACGAACTCCTGGGCTGACAGTGAGCAGCTGAGGTGATTTCCAGGCGGGGTTTGCCGGGTGAGTCCTTGCATGGGTCGCACCTAAAGAGTAGAAAGCATGAGGTCTGCATGAAGCGTACGTGAAGGAAAACATCAACCTAAACCTCCCTTCATCTCCTTAATTGTCAGGGTTGCTGCGAAGGAACTTAGACTAGATCACCATAATAAGGAAACCCTCCTATTTGCTATATACCCATACTAAGGTAACTTGGCTTAAGTTCTTTGACAGCAACCTAGTTGTGCTTAACGATATGGATTCAACCATTCATTTTCAGGATGATGTGACTCTCAAAAAACATCTATCATGCTTGCACTGTTTCCTGAAGCGGCTTATGGGGTCGCTGGATGCGGATAGAAGTTGAGGCACCATCGTGTCCAACAGCTGCACAACCATCAACAGCATTCACGTGTCCCCCCCCCCGCCCCCTCTCAAGCCCACCTCCTCCCCTGATGGTCATGATATAGAGTATGATTAACCTGCCCCGCGCCCCCGGCGGAGGGCTTTTTTTTTCCTAGGTGTGGCTCGCCTTTTTTTTTCTCTTAGGTGTGGCTCATCCATTTTCGTGGGGCACGCTCATCCTTGTAAGCGTTGGCACTTTTGCCATGCAACGACCATGTGACAGCTCACAAACGACGACAGTTACGAGGATGGCGACCCCGACCCACCTGATCCTTGTGACTGTTGACACTTTCGACACGCCAACAAGATGTCAAAAGCCAAAAACGATGACAGTTACGTGGATGGTGACCCTGACCCGCCTCATCCCTGTGACTGTTGACACTTTTGACACGCCAACAAAATGTCAAAACCCAAAAACGATGACAGTTACGTGGATGGTGACCCCGACCCGCGATCCTGGCGACTGTTGACACTTTGGACACACTCACTTACCAGCGCTCGCAATCTTGTTATTTACCGTATTTGATTCTTCCAAGAGGCTCAAGAGTAGCTGATGATGAAATATGCGTAAATTCAAAAAATTCCAAACACCATTCACTTAACCTCCCAACACTTCCAACTGCTGCGCCGTACTTGTAACCTTTTCCAGAGCTCGAAATGCCATTATTTATAGTGTCGGTTGCCTTTCAAGAAGTGTAAGTGTCAAGAACTCCAAACATACGAAAGCATCTAGGTGCTTGCGAATCTGGGTTTCAAAAAGAAGTGGGGTTGGAGAGAAGCACCGCCCTTATTTTCTCACTACATAAACGCGGGCAATGGTAAGAACACGTAGAACGGCCTACGTAAAATCAACGTAAGTTGGGATAAAATTTGTCAGGCTGTTGCGTGCTGCGAAAACAACGAAATAGCGGGGGAGTTGGGGGGGGGGCAGCCCACCCCATTTGCAACACATCAGAACACGTCGCTTCTGGCACTTTTTGACAGGATATGTTTGCATTGCGCTTGCCTTACAAAACTAGTTTCCCCAGTAACCCAACAATAATAAGGGTACCCTTTGTCCTGATATTTAGCTGCAATAAGGAGACCCCAAAATGAAAACGGCAAAAGGGCACTACTGGGGTACCTAGGAAATACGATAGGGCTTGGGGGCCTATAAACCCTAAAGTCCATGCACAGAACATGGACGAAGATCAGAACACAGTGGCTTCTTGCAACCGTTGATAGGTTGTTTTTTGCATCGCACTTGCATTACATTCCTAAATAGCAGCCCCCCCCATCTGCAAACCATCGACGACAATCAGAACACACTGGCTTCTTGCTACCGTTGATATCTTTTTTGCATCGTGCCAGCATCACGGGGGTTGGGGAGGGCAGACCCGCCCCATCTGCAAAACATCGACGAAGACCTCAGCTCCTTTGCAAACGTTGATAGGTTGGTTTTTGAATTCTTGCATTACGAACCCGCCGAGGGGGTTTGGGTGCCATTTGCAAAACGTGGTCGAACATCAGAACGCACAAGCTTCTTGCAGCCACTTGTTTTCTGCAATTACGCCGTAGCGGGGGTTGGGGGGTTTAGGGTTTCGGATTTAGGGTTGTGGGACGAGGGTTTGAGGTATGATTTGGGGCAAAAGTCGTTTTTTGTGCATTGGCCCGTTGAGAAAGCACGGTGTAAGTGGCACGTATGCCACAACAATGGCACCCCTAGGTTACACACCATGCGCCATCCCTGACAAATGTTTTGTCAGCTGGTTTCAGTCAAAAGCTTGGGGGTTGCGAGACTACGCCGAACTAGATTCCAAGATGTATGGCTGAGTCGCCTGGGAGTGGTGTGCTTCAGTAAACAAGAACTCAACGCAGCCACCCCCATTTGCAAAACGTGGACGAAAATCAGAACACGCAGCCTCTTGCAACCCTTTGACCGATCTGTTTTGCAATGTGTCCGCATTACGAGATAGCTGTAGTTTCCAATATGCCAATTTTCCAAGAGGCGCAAATTCTGGAACTTAAAACATTCCTCAGTTTCCAAGAGCTCCCAATGCTGTAATTTACAACATGCGTAGCCTTTCAAGAACCGCGAACACTGTATTTGCAGTTTCCTGGCTTCTCAAAAATCGTAGCATTTCAAACGCCACAAATATCGTACTTTGCGGGGGTCCTGTCTTTTCGGAAGCTCCAAAAGCTGTAACTGGCAGTATTTTTCACCTTCCAAAAAACCGCAACCAAAGACCAGAGGATCGAGAGCCAGAGGACCAGCGGACCAGAGCCAGGGGACCACGGGACCAGGACCAGGGGACCAAAGAACCAGAGGACCAGGGACCAGAGGACCAGAGGACCAGAGGACCACGGGCTCTGAGCCACACCTAAGGAAGCCAGACCTAACCGAGCCACACCTAGAGAAAAAGAAAACCCTTGGCCCCCGCGCCCCCCGGTCCTGTGGCACTGTGGTCTGGGCTTGGTACTTTTTTTTACGGGTTCAAGAGTTGTCTCAGAGGTTTCTAGGGGGCTCATGAAGGTTTGATAAAATTCTATACAGGTCTGGTAGAGATAGAAGGTTTCTAGAGGGTTTCTAAAGGTTCAAAGACCTTTAAAGACAATTGCAAGGGGGTTCCTAGCTTTTATACGCGGCTTATAAAAAGTCAGAGCACTTTCTGGAGGGATCGTAGAAGGTTTATGAAGGTTTCATAGACTTGTATTGAGGGCTTCCAAAGGTACCCCACACCCCAGTGGTCCCGCGGTCCTGTGGTTTGGGTCCGATGGTGAGGGTTTATAGACAGACTGAAGAAGGGTGTAGAGAAGTTTATGGGGAATGCATGCTTCTTGAGGGTTACAGCATGCATCATCCCCAGATGGGGACCATACCATTGAAGGGGGAGAGAGAAGAGGGGAGCATTGACGCGAAGCGCGGACGCTATATGCCCTGCATGACCCCCAACCTTTTGAAACAGGCTTCCATATGGTAGGTTGTTTAAAAGTGTGGTCCCTTTTGCCTAGCCTGTATAGTTGGGGCTGCATCATATCAGGAACCCCCCAGAGGAGAATACTTTTTACAACCTACAATGTTCGTTTGGGCAAGGGTAATGACACGGGCTGCTCTCAAAATCATGGGCCCCTTTTGGGTATATATTATACTGCGGCACCTAATATTTAGGGATACCAACATATGACCCTAAACCCTAGTCCCCCTTAAGTAGATAGAATATGGGATATATGGGGATCTTCTTAGAATATACCCAAAGCCATATTCTATCTATTTAAGGGGCACTATACCCACGTGATCTTGGTGTCCAGGGCCTGGCCTACACCGAAGAACACAAGGACAACTCTCAGCAAGATGCCCAGATGTTTGGAGTTTAGGGTTCGGGGGTTTAGGGTTCAGGGCTCAGGGTTTAGGGTTTAGGGGCTTGGGGGTAAGGGAACCCCCTTTAATGATGGTGAGCAAATGGAAAGAAAATGGAAAGTGACATGGAGACTGGGCTTACATGAGCATTGCGGAGACAATGACAGAGCGGCATACGAGAAAGTCAAAACCTTCCTGAGAGGCAGGTTGTACTATATACGAATATACTTGCATATACATGTGAGCTATAGTCTAAACTCCTAGTATCCCCCTTGATAACCCCTATAATACTCCCCTATAGAATCGCCGACAGAATCCCCTTTAAGGAGTTTTGACCCTAAATCCTAAACCCTAAACCTAAACCCTAAACCCTAGACCCTAAACCCTAAACCCTATATATCCCCTTTTAAGGAGTTTAGTCTCTAGCTGATATCATTGTGAAATCACCCTGGTCAGCTCATGTGCAAAACTGTTCGGCTGCAACCAGGGATCTGCAGATCCGTCGCTTTCGTTCGCCTGGGTTGCTGTTCAGGAATCTAATCTAAGTTAGGGTTTAGGGTTTATTGTTTAGGGTCCCCCTATAATGCAGAGTAAAATGGAAAAGTAAATCGAAATCAAATGGAACCTGGGGGAATATGGTGATTTAAGGGGCTTGCTTTCAGTAACTAAATTGGGGGAACCCTATTATTTACTGTATATGCGTATATACCCATTATGATAACTTAACTTAATTCACTGTATTGGGCAAACCTTATTATTTACTATATATAACCACTATGGTAACTTAGTTTAAGTTCCTTAACAGCAACCCAGTCTCCATCGTTAGCGTTGTCTGAAAGTTTTTCAGGTGTGGATCGAACCACCAAAGCTTCAGCATGAAGACCATTTGGAACCTTGATGGATACATCTTGGGCTTGGTGTTATGGATTCAGTGATGTTGGTTTAGGATTTAATGCTTAATCCGATTTAATCCGAGTAGGGTCAGTCATTGGGTTGAAGGTTGGCTTGGGGAGAAATCTCAACTGCTGAAGTTCCAAGACCGTCCCAGGCCCTTCTGGGATTTGTTTTGGGATGAGGGCTTCCGCTTCCCTGCACGGATCACACAAAGTTGCTCCCCGCATCCATCCCTGAATTCTGCGAGTGTTCTACGCTGATCGCTGTTATGAGTGCTCTGTGGGGGGGGGAAGACCACGGATATGTGTCCAGGCTCATTCCCTGTCAAACATATGTACA